ATTCCATCCACACGCCTTGAGTACGACAATTTGGCCCACCAGAGACAACGTCTGAATATGAGTCCACGGCGGTTGGGACTGGCCGTGACAGTTGAGGATTTTTCTTTTTCGTGCACACCATGCAGGCGAAAGCTATTAATAGTCTACGCCACGAAAGGATTTCATTCCTGCGGCCCTGCAAGATGATGCTAACCGGCAGAAACACGTGCATCAGTGCCGCCGCCACTCCAACCACCGTGAATAAAGTCTGGCATAGTCTATTATAAAACCATCTTCATTACTGGATTGTCGCACTCACTCGTGAATAATGGGTCCCATCACAACCCACCAACCTTCATCCATTATCCTAACAGATGACCAAATACTCCTGATGTCGCGGTTAGAGTCCATTGTTGGCTGAAGTGCCTCTGTGACCGACATATTTTGTGAAGGACTTCGCATCAAGGACGTTTGCCGACCCCATCTACTCATGTCCTTTCCTTTCTGTAGCTGTTGCGTTGCTACGGTTCGCTGCTGCTGCTGTAGTCTATGTAGTATGTACACACCAGGGCACACACGTGTCCCTCTTGTTTTGGATAGATCAACGAATGAAATATCAGTTTTGCAAGCCCCATAAGACTCGGGGAGTGAGTGTCGTTCTGGTGCAGAATTAACAAAAGTCGATGAGCAATGTTCAACTCGTCATCAACGCGCATTGATAAGCTTGGAGAGGAAACAGCAGATAGACACCGTACTCGTAGTCGTTGCCCGACAGAGGGGAGTGAACAAAACTCGGTGAAGTATGTATTGTAGTCATGTATGCGATCGAGTGTGCGCATGCAGCGCGAACAAAAACGCAGGCAAGGTAATTTCGTGGAAAAGCTGTGCGCGCTCGTTTGCTGTTTGTCGTCGGCGCCTGTTCTTGACTTCTCCTAAGGACGCCAGTGCCGCATGTACGCCGGTCAACACACCGAGTGGGTACACAGTATGGGTCGCATTTCAGTGGGGTGGGACGCCAGTGTTCTTGGCAGACAGGGCGGCGGAACTGACTTGTGCCAGCCAGCTTTTCTGCCACTCTCAACTGGGTGAAAAAGTGTGCATGGCACGTATGAATGACAACAACCCTGATCTACTATTACATGGCCTTATTTTAGGCCCAATAACAACAAAACAACCTTTTTGGAAACCAACAAGAACACAAGACTCGGGAATTTAGATATTTAGTAGTAGTTGGTGTGGTACGGTTTTCCGGGAAAAACTGAATGCTATTTCTTTGTGAAAATAAACTGAAAATACTGCAAGACCAAAGCCAGGCGGGACAAAAGCTTATTCAGAAACAACAAAATTACAACACACAAGGTGGCCGTCTGCTGGCCCCACCAGCGCGAAGGCACGCACAAATAAAGTAGCTACCAGCGCAGCCACCGTACACGGCAGCACCCGGCGGTTGGTTCTGTGAAATTCACACATGTACAAGAAAATCCTTGCGGCGGCAGTGTTTGGTGGAAATGAAAATGCAAGACATGCACGCTCTCCGCCCTGCCCTGCCATGCCGCGCCTTTGGAGCAGCCTAAGTGACACAACAGAGAGGTACGCTAGAAAGATCTGTGACCACGGACCCTCCCCCCCCTCTCCCAACACCAACAAAGGAGAAACGACCCCATCCCTCCCTGAAAAAAAAAAACAAAACGAGTACAATGAAGCACACAAATCGAATAAGGTAAAACAATAAAGCAGACCCGAAAATACAGGAAGGTCCACACCCTACAACTTGTCCATCTGCTACATATGTAAACTCTTTAATTACCGTGTGGCCACAGAGACTGGTTTCTTTACCTTCACGGCACCGCATAGGCCTGAGCTGCTATTTTTTCGTGTGTGAGGATCAAGCTAACAAGGACACCGACCACCACATCAGGCAGCAATAACGACAAACAACGACTATCACAACCCGGACTTTTTTATCTGGTGCGAAATTTCACGACGAGCCCACCCTCCCCGCCCCCAAGCAAAACGAGACCCTTCCATTCGCGCACCCCCCCTCCGCACCGCTATGATACGGCACATCGGCCGAGCAACCAGCTCGCTGTCGCGTTTGGGGGTCTTCAGCAAAACAAACCGGAGGGAAAGAAGCAAAGACAAGGAGGTCAAACACCGGTCGAATCTTCGGGTGAAAATTTTCACAACATCCTCTTGCTTCTCACGCTGCTGCTTCCACACACACCCTATGCATGCATGTGAAAAACAGCCCCCTCCCCCGCGCGCCAAAAAAAAAAGACGACAAAAATGCCGAAGACTCTCTCACAACAAACAAGTCCGTCCGCAGAGGCCTTTGGTCGCTCAACCAACGTGCCGCGCGAACGCTCATATCTCTGTGTGTAGGTCTCCTCTCTCTCTCGCTACCCCCGGTATCTCCCTCTCACGAGATCAATATTACACTGGCTTGAACCTGTCTTGCGGAATATGTCGACGCCCCCCGTCAATAGTTCGCTGGATGTTCCTTTTCCCCTTCCTTTTACGCGGTCTGAACTCACCCCAAGCGTCGAAAAACATGACCTGCGATTCCGTGTTTCTCCCTCCCTCCCTCTCCCTCGACTTTCAACACCTCGCTCGTACTGAAAGCACAAGACTGCTGTGGATAAAGGCACAGCTGAACAAAAACACACCAAGAGCACATCTGCCACGGACCTTCTACGCCCCCCCCCCCCCCCCCCCCCCNCCCCCCCCCTCTAAACTAACGTAATATTCCCGTCTCGCGTGGGAGGGGGAGGGGTTGGGGGGGGGGCGAAAACAAACCAACCACGAAAGAGTGACAGAAAAAAACACACACAGATACACACACCCACGCGATGAGAGGAGGACGGCACCAACTGCTGAAATTCACCATGACTGGATCCAGAGCGATACAGTGCGAAAGCAGACAAGGAAAGAAATGCAGATACATGTACCGTGTACGAGAAAAAACAGTCTAGACTACATGCCGAAACAGACAAGCGCGGCCGCGGACCCCCGGACCTCGGTAAGCCCTTTATCGATAGGAGGAGCAGTCCACGGCATCTTAATGCCCCCCTCATCCATGCAACTGCTGAATGGCAGCGTGCCATACGGCTCTCCTACTGCTGCCGTTCTCGTCCAAGGGGGTCGTCCTCCATGCCTCCCCCCCTCCCACCCACAATTCTCCCACCCATGAAGAACCTACGCGCGTAGTACCCGCCCGGACTTGAGCCCGAGGGGTGCTTAGGTCTAAAGGTTTTCCTGCCTTTCGCGGTCGTTGGGGTACTCAAACCCACGAACGACGACGGCGAATCGAACCGACAATCGGGATACTACCTCACCTAAAACCTCGAAAACAACCAACCAAAATAACTGCCGTTTCCTCCCGGCTCCTTGCTCCTCTCCTTCCCTTCTGTGAGCTCTCGTCTACACCCGGGCCATGGCACACACGCGCAGACCGATTCGAGAGGCACGATCGGAACTACATGGGAGAACGATTCGACCACAACACCCCCCCGACGCTCTCCCCTCGCCCCCCCCCCTCCCAGCGAGACCTCCTCTCTTGCATACACCCGGAATACGCCAGAGTAACCACAAATCTCGAGCGTCCGCCCCTCCATCATCGTGGCGTGCGGGGGGGGGGGCTGTTCCTTTGGCAGACATACCGCCCCCCCCTACATGTTCCGGTCCGCGCGGGCCATCATCCCCGCCGGAGAAGGTACCTCGTCACCCCCGCCTCTGCCTCCGCCGCCGCCGCCGCCCCCGCCACCTCCACCTCCACCACGCGTCCTTCCCGGCGGCCGGTAAGAAGAAGCCCCGTCCTCGTCAGACCACGCCTCCGAGTTCGCGCCGACACCGCCCGTGTACGTGCCCCCGCCCGCGGTGTAGTGGCTATACATGCTGTACGCGCCGGGCGAGGACGCCGCCACGCTGTCGTCGTACCCGTCCTGGTGGTACGAGTGCTCCAAGTCCTCCGCGGGCGGTTGGAGCTCGTACACGGACCCGGCAGCGCTGTCGTCGCCGATTTCGGAGGACTGGTCGAAGCTCCTCCGATGCCCCATGTTCTGCCCGGCCGACCAGACGATACCCCCGCCGCCGCCGCCGCCGCCGGCCTGTCGCGGCTGCTGCTGCTGCCGTTGCTCCTGCGGCGGACGGTTCCCTCCATCGACCACCCCGCTGCTCAGTACGCTCGCGAACGCCGGCGGCGGGTTGGGGTCCGGCGAGCGCCGGCCGCCCGATGACGACGTCCCGCCGGCCGCCGCCGCCGCCGCCGCCGCCGCCGCCATGGAATCCTTGCGCAAGACGGGCTTCGCGTAGTTCGACATCTCCACCGCCGCGGGGTGCGGCAACGCCGCCGAGGTGGTGGCGGTGCTCTGACTGCTGCCGGCGGCACCTCCGGCGCCGCCGCGGGGTGCGAATATGCCCTCGTACGCCGGAGTGTTCACGCCGCCGTGGTTCGGCTTGAAGCTCTTGGCGTTCGAGCCCTTCGCGAGCAGACCGGCGCTGCTGCCGCCGCTAACGCCAATCCCGCCCCGCACGTTGCGGGGCCCGTCGCCGCCCACGCCACGATCGCCGCTATCTCCCATGGTGCCCCCCGCCGCCATCGGGCTCTCGACAGTCTCGCCGATCGCCCCGGTGTACGCGGGGAGGGGCACGGCCCCGCTGCCACCAGCAGCGGCAGTAGCGCCGCCTCCACCGTCCGCAACCGCGGCGCCGCCGGCCCCCGCCTTCCCGGCCCTCTTCTGCTGGGCCAGGCTGTGCTGCGAGTCGTCCGCAAAGGTGTGGCTTCCCTTGTGGGCCCGTTTCTTGCAGTGGAACACACAGAAACCGACGCACAACACGACGATCAGTCCTCCCACGGCGATGGCGATGATGGCGGGAATGGTCAGGTCACCGTCGCCGCCGTCGTCGCTGGTCAGGACTTCCGGAGACGTGCACACGACGGAAATCGTCGCTACCTCGGCACAATCGTCGCAGTCAACGTACAGCCACGTGCTGCATACATGGGGGCGATATTTGCGGGGGGGGGAAGGTGTAGGTGTCGTCGGTGTGATGGCGCCAGCGAATGATCGTGCGGATGTTGAGCAGCAAAGCACAAACGTTTCAGGGGCCTTGTCGAAAACATGACACGTGCCCGAAAGGTGAGCGCCGCAAAATACGCGGCGGAATTACTTGAAGCCATGACTCCCTGCGCGAGGGGCGAGCGTGTTTTCCGATTGGCACCGTTTCGGAGTGTACTTGCCAAGTCAGACCCTCCCAAACAAGTCGGAACACAACATGCCGATGCAACCGCTTTCGTCTGAGCACGAACGTCTGCAAATTGCGGCGCGGGGAACTATGCATGGCCAAAACAACTGGCCTGAACACACACCCATCGACAAGCAGCACAACTGACCTACTGCTTGTGGGCAACGACACTTGTAAAACACATCAGCAGCGCGACGTGTCATCAAATCGCAAAAAAAGTTCGACAATGTTCTCGCTCACCTCTCTACGCTTGCGGGATGCGTCGCGCAGTCGAAGGTCGAATCTGTTCTCCGTCGACGCATCAAGAGCCCATCCACAAAACCATCCCACCCAAGAAGCGCCATATGCGATGATTCGATTGTTGAGGTCACGTCAGCGGCGGCGCGGGACAAGGAGAGCGATAGAGGGCGTGAGAGAGCGGTCGCGGGAAGCGGTCGAGGGGGGGGGGGGGGTACTCATAGTCGTGCATGCCGTAGTCGTTAGACCATTGACCTCGCATCCCTACAAAGCCGGGACGGAGCACGCCGGGTTCTCACCGGACCAGGCTCTCACATCACCAAGCGCGAAGCGCCGTGAGATATTCGGCGAGTCGCATGAAGGGTGCGCTGCATCCTGCTAAGGGTGTTCGGCATCTTGTGCTTACTTCCTTGCGTACGGATGACAGCTGCGTATGAATTAATTTATTTTCTGGTGCTTTCACTTCCAGAGACAGTTGTAAGCACTGTGTAACTGCCTCGAGGGTGCTTGACCATTTTAACACAACGTGGTGCGATCATCCCCCTTGCGCGGAGTGAGGGTTCTCCACCCCGCACAACATGATCTACTCGACCACCATTATGGTTGGCGCCAAAAAAAAAAAAAAGGTAACCTGGTTGCCGAGTTCAAGAAGTGAAATGGCTTGTTTTGCAACGTCGTTGCCAAGCGACGAAAACCCAA